TCTCATTGAAAGTTACCTCAAAGCCACGCGAGACACTTTAGAAGATGTGCGCGGCTAATAAATCAGTTCCCACGATCGACGCGCGGAGATAATTTGCGCCACAGATCTTCAACTTCTGTGTGATGTGTGCGAACAGGTCTATTCTCCAAAGTGCTCTCTGTGGTAAGGCACGATTAACGGACGCCAGGGAGCCATCAGGCCGAATAAGTGCTAATCTCTGCGATAGTGAATCAGCAAACTTTATGATGGCATCAGAGAAATTCCTTTTATATAAAGTAACAGAGTGACTGCATTTTTTTTTTAAATTAAATTTATTTTTAATTAAAATTTTTAGTAAAATAATTTTATGAATATTTCATTTTAATTGAAACCCTTAAAGATGCCCCCCCAATATTTAAGAAATCGCATCCGAAGCGAGTTTTGCAAATTAGGAAAATTCGCGTAGGTTAATTGGAAAGGCAAGATGATGCACCACATTGCGAATTTAGAAAGCAAATCAACTTCCAGGTCAAAACCAATCGACCGAAGTTTATTATGAACTACGTGCAGTCCGTTTTTAATTCGTCCTCCGCAATTATCGGGTGATTCAGAAGGGGCCTGTTTGGCACCACACCCTTGGCCGACGCCACCGCGGATGCTCGGCATAAATGTGGAGCGCCACGGATATATTTTAAAAGGGAGAGTGAGTTAGCGCTGAAATGGCGACGTCTGCCCACTCTTGGGCAGGGTGTGTGGGCAGCGGAGAAAAGTGCACGGCCTTCGCCTACCCGGGTCGCCTTATTAGGCTGCAGCGCCAACACTCGCGCCGAGCGCGACCGACGACCCGCTCTATGCCTATCTTGCATCAAACGCATTAAATATTCCGCTCGGGAATTAATACTGACTTTCTAGACGCGTCGCGTTTGCTCCAGGGATGACCCTTTACGTCGTGTTACGTAATTACAGGAATAAAAAATTTGTGACGTATTATTTTCGGAATTCGGTTGGTTGGGGTAAACGTTTCCTTGTGGCGGAGGAAAATTCAAGAGAAAATTGGCACTTGGGAAAACCAAGCATCAATCACAATAGACTGATGGATGATGTAATGCTTTTCGCGCCACTGACAGGTTAATTGTTTAAACTTTTGATCCCGGGCCAAATCATTACGTAATTTCTAATTAAAAGAAAGCAAAAATTAGGTTTAAATTTATTAACATTAGTTTTCTGATTTTTTTTTTAATATTTTTATAAACGTTTAAAAATCATTTTGTTCAATATTTTTGTTTATAATTTTTAGAACACGTAAATCAGATGCAAATTGGCTCAATTTATATAATTTGAAAATTCTGCATCCTCATTGTTCAGTCTTGAATGCCAAGTTATAGTAGGTGCAAATTCGCGGTGAAAGTTAAATTGCATGTCTGCTCGGCAAGAGAAAGATAGAACGTGCAAATTGAATAAAATTTCAGCTCGAGTCTTGACTTGTGATGCATTTGTCTGGCCCGCGGTATTTATATTTTCATCGCTTCAATTGTATATAAAACATGAATAATGCATGGTTAATGAGCGAAAAAAGAGAGCTCGGCATGAATCGCGCGCTCACCACGAGTTCAATGAGAGCAGCAGGCGATTATTACGCTGCGAAAAATCCTTGAGATCGACTTGCGTGCTTTGATGCCTTGATTTATGCTGATACATACGCATTTATTGTACTTTTGTGATCTCATTAACGTGCGTTTTATGCACTTCAAAATTTGCAATTTATGCACGTTTATATGAGGGCATTAATTACAATAGAAATAAAGAATGTCGTATGGCGATTGATAAATATCTCATTGAAAACGTCGCTTAATTGAACACCGGCAGAATTTAAATTATGCATAATGTGAGAAAATTAAAACAACAGCCTCTTAAAGAATTTTAAGTGCACTTGAGCGAGAAATTGAAAGAACCCACTGCATGCGTGTTTGATGATTACGTTTTCATGTTTTGCCTGACTTAAGAAAAAAATTGAATCATCATCAGTTTTCAACGCCTGATGCCAATTACACTTGAAGTACGACATGCACAGCTCATTAAAACCGCTACTCCAAATTGCCTCTCGTCCTGATTGGCCAAAACACTAAGCCGCCCAATTAGTTTGATTAATCAGCATCAAATTCATGTTTTGATATTCTCTAAGCACCTTAAGGATGATGGCGTTAATGATGCGTGCGGGTTGTTGACTCACAATACTAGAAAAAAAAATTGGAGATTTATTATCTCTCAAAATAAATATTCCTCACACGCATTCGAAAATCCACCGATTTGTTCTCGCCTCAAGAAGAGCGAATCGTGATCTGTTGTGCGCACTGGTTCGGAACTTCAGACATAAATCTAAGTAAAATTCTTCCATTGCATCGTTTAGCCATGCATTAATTCGTTCGTTCTGTTACACAACTTTTGGTTTCTTCCGAAAAGAGAGAAACTGCTGAAATTGTGTGTGCTGTGAAATGGAGAAGGAGCGCAGCATGCAGATGCGATGTTGGACGCACTCGAGCGTCACACGTTTCGCTCGTCTATTCTCTCTCAACTCGCTCTATTCGCTCTCTCGGGGAGCACTGACTCCCGAAACACGCCTTCGGACGGGTTGAAATTTGATATGCAAAGGTCAGTTCAATGATCTACTCTTGAATCGCATAGATAACATCGCAAACTCGCACAATATCGAATGGGTGGTAATTGAAAATTTATCTCGGGTCATCTCAATATTGGATCTGACGTGCGGAGAGAAAATGAGCCGAGAGGACGCAGGCCAAATATTTCCGAGTACTATTAGCAAGTTTAATAACCATCTCGTCGCCTTTTTTAGAATGTGTCAGGTGCCTCGAAAAAAAAAGCACAGAAAAAGCTGTACTTTCACAACATTTATTTGTTTATAAATTCCACAAGAACTATCTTTCTTTTTATAATACAAACAATTTTAAAGCAAACAAAATCTAACAAATTTGAAATTTTACGATGCAATAAAGACTTTTACGTACTAGAACGTGATTAATTTGTCATGTTTGTTTCCCATGAAATCGCCAGTCAGGCCTCCACCCTGTCCAAAAATCTAAAGTTTGTATTCAGCGTGAAATGTGGCGTGCAAATTGCCGTTTTGATAAATGTGGAATCCGCCAGCGTGGGTTACGTCTCGAGCCTTGTTTCTCGTTTTAATTCTCCAATTTGGAGGTCAAACTGTGCCAAATGAAATAATGAAAACCTTTTGTGGCGCCTCTGCCGGAGAGTTTGGTCATCTGCGTGCGTAAGGAAGGTAAAAAAAAAAGATTAAAACGATTGCAATGAATTTTTCGAGGGAAGGTTACCAGGCTGCTGGTGTTTTAGGCGCGTATCCTTGAGATTCTGCAACCTACTCGCGCAGTCATTAGTGGGAATTAATTCGCGATTTTCCCTCGGTCCTTTTGTTTGTTTTATTCCCAAATGATATAATTTATAAAAGTCCGCCTTTTTTCTCTCTCTTAATAATATAATTGTTTAATTTGGAAAGGGCGTTCTCGCAGATTTACAGTTACCGTGCAGACAATTTCCTTTCTTTCGCGTGTGTATATGTAAAAGGTCCAGATTCATTGTCTGGCCAAATCTCTTTTGTTCCGGTCTATTATTCCGCTCCTTGTTTTCTCGAATTGGTGGCCGCACGATTCGCCGCCATGATGCATTCGCTTTAAATCGACGGTATGAAAGGCGATTTTGCACATGAAGTGCCCACCGATCGAGTTGCAAATAAAGTAAAACGCTTGCTATATAGCGATACTAAAAAAAGTTTCGTATAGTTGTCGTCCTTGCTTGCGACTGGAATCAAGAGCGGCCCCACCCTTTGTCTCCCGCAAATATCCGTAACAAAAAAGAATATACAACGGTTTCAAGCTTATAAAATTGTCTGATGGAAAAATCATTGTATGGTTTCACAATCCAACTTGGGAAAGATGGAAATATATTACATAAATAATATATTTTTTTTTAAATAAATATATAAAGTAAATTTTGACATAATATTTGGATATTTATTTTATTTCTAACTCATTTTAAAAATGATCTATAAAATTTAGAATTTTACTGTAAATTTAATAATAAGTATGAATATTATTTTGCAGAAAAAAAGTTTTAAGTCACGTACTGTACTGTGAAGTTGACATCATAATTTCTCAGGCAATATTTTCGCATGACTCGTACGAAATGTGCTTTTCTTGGATTAATGTGCGCAAATAAATATAAATATATAGCCCGCAAATTTTCGCAGAACCGCAGCACATCTTTTCAAGGTACACCGCACGTCTCCAAGTTCAAAGTCCTCTGTGCAAATGCGTGCTCTACTATATTATTGTTATTTGCCAAACAACAAAAACTCTTCTGCGGCAAATAAACGAGCGTCCGACCGTTTTATTACGCGATTTAATTCAGTTTGTTTGCGCTTTTTCTCTTGTTTACTCAGCGCAACCTTCTCATTATGTAATTCTGCCAGAGATCCGCGGTTAGCTGCGGCGAAAAATCTGTCTTTTTTTGTGGTGCCGCGCGCGGCTGCTTTTCTGGGAATCGAGCCAGAGTCACACTGCGGTGACTGCAAAAAGGAAATCAAACGGAAAAAGAATTCAAAAGTATAATATAAAGAGAGCGACGAACGACCCTCGCGATTTTCACGCTCGGCCAGTAGGAAGTGATTTCACAAAAGCCTGCACATAACCCACGCCTGACCCTAATAATATAAATCTCTCGCGCCAATATTTTCAGTGGGTTTGCATTCTTTGCATTGTACGCTAGTAATAAAGAAAAAAGTAGTACACTGACGCCCTCAACCTCTAACTTTTAGTGCAGATTTTATTGCATTATAAATTTAGATACAGTTAAATTATAAAAATATATAATTGGCAATTCATAAGGATGAAAATGAAAATAAAAAAATCAAATTTAAACACAGGATTATTGCAAAAAATAAAAGTTTTTTTTTAATTACAAAAATATAAATGATTGTATGCGATTTTCAGGTGCAGTGCCAATCTTTTTGAAAGCTACCTGGATTTTTCTGCAAAGCCTGGTGAGTACAATTTACGTCCATATAATTATAATAATTTGATGCACGACAGGATTGAAAATTGGCGAAGTTCCATTGCAAATGTATAAAATTGCATAAAATAAGTTCGTTAAACTAGATAATCTGAAGCCGCAATGATTTCTCTCCCTCGCGTGCCACGCCCTGAGAGATCATCTAACGCTAAATCGACCTGAAAATGACCACGTCTCTCGCGATGGAAAGGAACTGTTCCACTTTTTCAGATCGCAACCCGTTCGCTCAACAATTGTTATACACCCCCGCCTCGCACTCTCTTTGTGTGCCACGGGCGAATTTTGCAGCCTTTCTCTCTCGCCGACTCTCGATTGCACCGCAAATGCAACTGTTCCCTCACCGGCCTCTTTGGCTTATCAGGTGCAACTTTAACTAATTAACTTGACAATAGCAGCTGCTGTATCAAAGTGCGAATTGCCCCAAGCTGATAACCAATCGAACGGATAAAGTGACTTTCACGGCAGATTTAATCTAACATGGCTGTGCTGCGAGTTTGTATTAAATTGATATTTTATACAATAATTATAATGGTACTTACACAAGACGCGAGTGTTATCCAAACGACTAGAAAGAGTAGTAACTTCATATTAGCTGAAACAGAAGAAACACAAAAATTAATCTGCTGATATTTTTTAGATATTTAGAAAAGTGTGCAAATTTAATAAATTGTGAAATGAATTGGAGATGCGATTATATTTTACATTATTAACTTGGGCAAATTTATAAAAAAAATTTAAAAAAATTTAAATATGAGATATTATATTGATAATTTAAGTGATTTAAGAATATATATTTTGTAATTATTTTTAATGATATAAATTGGCACCAAACACGGTGTTTAGCTTTGCCGGAACCATTTTGCATTGAAATTGCCCAGGATGAATCACTCAGGTCGATTTTAATATACCCCTCAGGTACTGTAGAGATAATGACATGGTGTTAATTTTGAGGTGGGTCGGTTGGGCTAGCCTGAACAAATTTGCGAAAATTGATACGCTGCACGCACTTCTTGCGTGGGCTGGTGTTTTGTTATAAATCATTTGAGATAATGATACCAGCACAAACAAATAGGAACGCTGCCGGCGTCTATTTCTATGTTGTGCACATCATGAGCTTTGTCCGCAGAGGTGAATCTACGCTTTTTTTTTTAAATTGGAAAACCTAATCTTCTCACCAAAATTTATTTGGCTTTCGTGTTCGCTTTTGATGGCATTTGTACGGGCACGCGATTTGTATTCATTCAAGAAAAGCTAATATTCCATTCGATCTGGACGGTGAGAACGAAATCGAGTTTTAAATTTGCAGCAGCAGACGTAATCAATTGTATCTCTCTTTATTATACGAGGCGGATGGATGACTTTACTGCAGCCGGGAAAGTTAAAAGATGTAAAAAGTCGGTGTTAGTTTTGAACTGGCTTTTCAAATTTCACGCCTCACGAGTTTGGGTGCTAATTGCCCAAATTTACGATGGTACTTGGAAGAAAAACCACAAAATTAAGAGCCAAAGATGTTTGGTTAAACAAAGAGAAAAAATCTTAATATTTTTTTTCTATGGTTCTCTGCATCTAAGTAAGAGAATTGCTCCTTTCTAAACCCAAATAGTTTAAGTTGTCTCCAGTTAAAATTTAGTACCGTCTCAAGAGCTTCATTAATTCTAAAATTTATGCGTTCTCTAAAAAAGTCCCAAAGACAGCTGCACTCGAGCCGTTTGCAAACACGTTCTCCACTGTGTGATACTTTCACAATGCACAATCAGGTATATGTGTGTGTGTGCTCAAGTCGGCACATTTACACATATATACATTTTAGAGCGAAGGAGCCAGCCCGTCGGCACCGAACACAATAAAGTAATTGATTTAATAATACCGCAGCACGGCTCTTTTTTCGACTCTCTCGCTTCTTATGAGATTCAGGCACGATTTTCATTTGAAGTAAATATGAAAATGCACGTGGCGAATAATCAAATAACCTCTGCAAACCGCCCAGTCATTATTTAATTTTCTCGTATTTAAAGAAAATGAAGTACCCCGTTTTTTGAAAAGGGATTTCCTCTTTTAGCCTTTCCTTTGTTATTAACAAGAACACGTACCGGGAGATGATTAATCGCCTCTGTTGGGCCGGTTATGTAACGTGCATTATTCAAATGCAAATTGATTGTTCATCCCACAGAGTGTAAAATTAAAAGGCTCTGTGCTTTTCTATCAACATATTATTTTCGACATGCAGCGTCCTCATTTGGAATTCCACCTACTAGACCCTTTCTTCTTTACACGCCTTTCTCGTCCGCGATTGTTAGCACCCACTTCGCGCCTTTCTTCAAAGTACACATCCTCTATATTTATTGTTCGCTTTGTACAAAGAATAACACCTTCGTTTTCCGTCAAAAAAGCGAAAACCGCATTCAAACAAACTTGTCTCTGTCGCTATTTATTTTTTCCCTTATTCTCGCCCCACAGCTGCACGGTATGTGATTTACAGTTTGGATATGAGTTTTTCCTTTCCCGCTCACATTCGGTGACCGCGGCTAAAGGGTCTTTGCTTTGTGTCTGCGCGTCCACCTTCTCTGTCAATAAAGCGCTCAACCCTTTCCTTTTCAGCTGAAAATAAAAGTGATTGGCAGGTGGCCCCTCTCAATAACGAGCAGTTCCTCGAAACGACGTGGGGAATTCGCATACACAGGAAATTCAAATGCACAACTGCTGGACAATAGGGGAAAATGATTTGACGAGAGTGCGAGACTAACCAGACCAAGGACAAGGCAGTTTCTCTTTTTTTTTAACTGAACTCTCAGTCAGTGTCTTAGGTTTTTTAATGTTTTACTTTAATGTTTATTTAATACAGCCATGAGCTAAATTTTCCAGAAATCATCAATGGTTTCAAAAAGGTTAATTTAAAATAATTATTCTGCAGGAAAATTCGCTTATTTTGATTAAAATTCAGTAAAAAAATAACATTACAAATTTCCTAGCAAATTTAGTAATTCAATTGAGATCTTTTTTAATATATTAAATTTTCTTCCTATTAGCCAATTTTTCGGATCGTCGCTTTCAAAATCGCTTCGCCAACGTGCCGTAGATCAAACGCCTTAATTGTGCTTTAATCGCAGCCAAGGGCGAGCGGTCCGGTGCCCGTTCTTCAGAGCCGCTCATGCGTCCATTAATTTTTTGCCTCCTTGCACCTCTTACGTGTGATGTTACCTAATGGATGCATCTCAAGTTCAACCGCCAAGATAAAAAAATTATATGTGCGTTCTTCACACACAAACGAATCTTGCTAGAGTTAGAATTATATCGTCATCTCATCAAGCAACGTTATGGACACTCTTTCTCATTAATGAAAACATCTCAAAGCAACGCTTGCATAGCCTTCGCAGTGAATTTAATTATGTTGTAATCAAAAACAGCGAGTGTCGGCTGTGTGCATCGCTTATATGGAGACGCGGCAGGCAAAAGTAAAGTTATAGAGAGAGATGCTGAAATGACATCACTTCATACACGTCCTAGTTTGCGACTCAAGTCGCGCAAACAAGTCCTTTTCTGCCAATAAATCAACATAGCTGGTCGTGATTCAACCCGGAGTGTCCCAGTCATCGATATAGGAAACTTCCAAGTTTCTCTATTTGAATTATGAATTGAATTATGAACTTTTATAGCACCTTGATTAATAATGTAATATTTTAATTTTTCTAAAACTAATATGAATAATTTAACAATTGTTTGGTCAACACAAATAATCAGATTTATTGTTAAATATTTGCAGTAAAACAATTTTTAATGTAACTTTATTTGACTTCCGTGATTTCAATTGCAATTAATATAGACTTGGAGGAAAGCGATAAAAATAATTTTATTATTTTAATAATTTTTATCATGTCCATTTGAACATAAAACTATTTTCCAAAATATCAAAAAGTGCTAATATCTACTGTAATGAATTTGTATGATTTTTTTTTTAAATTTCAAATATTTTTCCTGAAATGACAAGCAATGGCAATGCCTCCTGCATCATCTGCGGTTAACCAAGTAGAAGAATTGCATGTCTCGCCGGCACTTCATATTTCTTTTCTCTGGTCAATGTGCGAAACGTTATTTTTTTCCTTTCGCGAATTCTCACCGATATATAAGATGTTTTGATTTATTTATATATCAAGTGTCTAAGTTTCCAAAGTGTCATCCTCATGACGGAGCAACCTAGTTAAAATCTCTTGTTATGGCTCGCGAGAGGAATGTGCACATGTCGTTTTCCAGCACAATGTCACCACGGCGCAATTACGGCATCAAAATGCGTGCAGAAACAACACGCGCGGCTGCCACTCCACTTGCCAACACTAATCGTTATTAAAACTGAAACGCGGGAATAATTGAATTGGAAGCGTCAAATGAAAAAATAAAAGTACAAATGCAGAAAGTTTCAACCAATTAATTGTGACGTTCAAACTGGCAAATTAGATTTCTATCCGATTTGAGAACATCCCTGGAGGGATTTCAATATTTATTGTTTTATGTGCTCTTGTGACAACGGATTAGCTCTGAAGGAGAAATCTATAACCTCAGGAGTCAATAGACTTATATTTAAAAAATAAATCAAGAGCAATTTCTCTGTTCCTTCCAGTTGATTATAATTTTCACTGTTTCAAACTGCTTTTTTGCTGGAGCTTGGTTTGATCTTTTTCTTCCACACATTTTTTCCCAGGGCACATCTCTTATTTATTTGTAAGCCTCTTATCTCGCTGCTCTCATCCTTGAGATTTCGAGAGAGGAACTGCATCTCTCTCTGTGTTTTCGTTTCTTCTCCATATCGTGCCGCGCTGTCAACTTTATGATGTTTTATGAAAGGAAATGCTGCCCCGCGTGCATACCATCAACTGGTGATTATTTCATTTTTTGTGCGTTCTTATGCAGTTCAAATAACAAAAACGTTTCATTTCTCGTCGAACGCACGCATGTCACGCATTGAATGGGTAAAAAAATCAGATTTATGGATTCAGCCCAGAGCAACGGTCAATTACCTTTCAAATCGGTTTTTGGCCTGCTGTGTAATTTGTTCACCAATATTTCAACTGGTCAATAAATAGCTTTAAAAAAAAATAATAGAAGAAAAAAAATAAAATGACAATAATAATATTTTTATAAAAAAAATCTTGGGAGTTTTAGCAAAATTGTTTAAAGGTGGTGCCGTTTTTAAAAATTCTTTTTAAATTTTTTTTTTTAATAAATTGTGATCAACAATTGAATGTAAACAAGGTAGAAGAATAAAGAACAATAATAATTTAAAAAAATTATTAATTTTTGGCCTCCTCACAAAGTGTAATAATTGAGTAATTTTAGGTTATCTCCTCTTTGTTCAATACTGGGCCCCTCATCAAATCAAACTGGTGCCCTCCCTAACCCTTTTGAGCTGCAATGTTTGGGTGCCCATCTCAAATTACTCACTCTCTTGGATGGCAAATAATGGGCCGTGCCTCGCCATAATGAAAGGTAAATAAACGCGGCTTGTATATATAAATTTTCTGTGTCCAAGCCAGCAAGCGTTCTGCTGCCTTGGCGGCGTATGTAGGTCCATTACAGAGCCGCGGGGAAGTGGCCCACTTA